GGCCGCCCGGGCCGGGGGGCTGGGGGGCCGGGGCCCGGGCCCCCCGGGGGGGAAGAGACAAAAAAAAAGAGGCCCCAAAAACCAAAAAAAAAAAAAAAAAAAAAAAAAAAAAAAGAATTTTGTGCTGTGCCTCAGTTACCATCTCCTCTCCAATAAAAGGACTCCAAATAGGATTTTGGGTAGATGTGTAGTATATTTATAGACTAAACTGGGGAGCATTTACATTTTTGCAGTATTGAGTGTTTCCTTTCACTCATTCCATCAGCAGTATTTCCTGCAGTTACTATACACCAGGCACTGTGCTAGATTTTTTTTAGATTTTGTTGATATTGTTAATGATGTTTTAAAATCATTTTTAAAAGTTCTCCCTATTACTTGAATTTAGGAATGCCCTCGATTTTTTCGTTTTGTGATTAATCACCATCCTGAATTCTTCATCTGTTTCTAGTCATCTTTTAGGTCCTCTTAACTTTCCCAAACAGACTGTTATCAGTCTGCAAATAATGATAATTTCATTTCCTTCTTTCCAGCCCTTATGTATTTCTTTAACTTGTCTTATCATGTGGGTTAGAACTTCTAGACCAAAGTTAAATAATATTGTAGTTAAGGCTGCACTGACTGATTTTTAGTTTTCTTTGTTTTTGTTTTGTTTTTAATTAATTTCTCCCATGCTGTGTTAATCATATGTTTAGTCTGTTTTTAGTAATTAACACTGTTAGCTTTATTATTAGATTTTCTAACATCAAACTATTCTTAAATTACTCAGATAAATTCTACTTGGTGATGGTATATTGTCATTTTTAATGTAATTCTGAATTTGCTTTGCTAAAATTTTTTAAAGACTTTTACATTTATAATCCTTAAGGGAGATTGGCGAGTAGTTTCTTTTTTTCTGTTATCTCTGTCAGCGCTTGTTCCCAGGGTTGTGTTAGCTTAAAATATGAATTAGGCTTTCCATCCTTTTCTGTGCTTTGGAAAGCTTCTGTTAAATTATCATAATGGGACATTTCTTCTGATTATGAAAGTAATAGTTTTCTTATAAAATATTAAGAAATCCCACTCCTTAGAGATAACTACCCTTGATGTCTTGATGTCTTTAGGTCCTGGGTTGTTTTTTCTCTATGTGGATGACACTTCTTTTTATGACTTGATTTCTTTTTCTTTTAATAAATTATGATAGGTATCTTTCTATGTTAACAAATATAGATTTCAGTCATACTTTTTTTTTTTTTTTTGGCCATGCTGCGCCGCATGTGGGATCTTAGTTCCTTGACCAAGGATTGAACCAGCGCCTTCTGCATGGGAGGCATGGAGTGTCAACCACTGGACCGCCAGGGAGGTCCCCAGTCATACTTTTTAATGGCTACATATTCTTTCATCTGTTGAATGCTTTTGATCTTTAATTTCGTAGATTCTTCTTAGACCTGGGGTGTGTGTGTGTGTGTGTGTGTGTGTGTGTGTGTGTGTGTGTGTTCTTTTGTTCATTTGTTTGTTTGTTTTGCTCTTTACTTCTTGAGTGAGGAGGGGTCTGCTTTCCTTGGCGTGTCCCCATAAACGTTGTGGGTGGTTTTTCTGTGCTTCCCAGGGGTATTAGAATAGTTAAGGTGAGATTTTTCTTGGCTGCTAATACCTTTGAGGGTTGCTTGATGTGTGTAGCCCTTGGCCAGCCTCTGCTGTTGCGCTGTATTTTCCTTATGTGACCCTGCTAATCTAAGGAGAGAGTCCCTGCTTCCACTGCAGTTGTATAATTGCTTCTTTTAACAAGGTAGCAAACTTGTGAGAGTGCCTTTTTAAACATATCTCCAATTATATCCGCGGTTGACTGTGTTTACTTTACACGGGCGATTCTATTTTTCATATTTTTAAATTCCTAAGAGGCTTCCTCCCCACCTCTCTACCATCCTTTAAAAAGGCAGCACTTAGAGTCACAAACAAAACTTTACTCTGGGTTTGTAAATTGGAGAAAATTCACACCTCCTGGAAAAAGAGTCCCATGCGGTCAACACTCCTCTCGTATAAAAAGGACACCCTGCTATAAAACTTTTAATGGGTTGTAAGTGTACCAGTGTGTTTAGGGAGGAGTGGCCGGGATGGCAGTGGGACTTGACGTCTTGTTCTTTGCAGCATGGTTGAGGGAACCGTGGGGCTTTTGCTGGTGAACAAAGACTGGGGACATGCAGTTTCCTGCATGGCTCCGAGGTAGACAAATAGGATCCGAGGGTAGATGCTCAAGGGACAGAATTCAGCTGATTGTGAGGGCATAGTGACAGTTTCCAGTCAATGTCAGGGTTCAGGTGTGGACCGGCTCACCAGCTGGTCAGGTCATAGGTCTGTGACTATGTGACTATGTGACAAGTGACTGTTAAGATTCCGTACAGCCCTGAGGTTGTCGTTGCAGCCCTTCTTTGATTGAATCATAGTTTGTAAAGCAGCGTTTACATGATATTTTTAGGAGACCTCACACCTCTGGACTAGCATTCTCAGGCTGTGTTCTTTTCTTTTCAGCTTACCGTGACAATCAGAGCTTTGTTGCAGAAACTGAAGGAAAAGATCGCCCTTTTGAAGGACTTATTGCTAAGAGCTGTGTCAACACATCAGATGTATCCATGTAAACATTTCCACCTCTTGCTAGAGTGGGAGGACAAGCAGTCTTATTTTAAGAAAGGAAGGAATCTGGGCCACCCAGATTTTTCCACAGCTTGAGGAAGACCTGGTTTCCAAAATATTGCCTATAATCTCAATTTCTATTTTAAGCGTCTGTTACATGTTTTACAGTGAATATGCTGGCGATGCAAGACACGCGGCAGGAGTTAACTTAGTTGGGTGTAACCTTAATAGTGCAGGAAGCTCATGCTTTCTGTCAGTGCTGTATTGACACCGAGCCCCATGTTGCTACCTGTCTAGACTGCCTTGAAGGTGGTCCAGCAGGAGAACTTCCATGACACCCTTGAGTTGTGATTCTGCTTCTGTAGTTCCCAGAGTTTTGAACGATTCGTTTTCTTTTCTGAGAAGCCAGTACCAGTAGAAACGATGCATTTTTTCCCCCAATTATGTAGATTATTGAGATGTTACTTCTTTGCCTTATTGTTCTAGAGGTCCAGACAGTACCCCTGTTTTGGGAGGTAGGAAACACTTGCCTGAAGCAAGTTATGTCATCACCTCAGCCTCCCACCAACAATGTCGAGAATTAAAATATTTCTTTCTTTTTTTTTCGGCCGCGCCATGCAGTGGCTTGTGGGATCTTAGTTCCCTAACCAGGGATCCGACCTGGGCCCCGGCAGTGAAAGTGTGGAGTCCTAACCATTAGACCACCAGAGAACTCCCCAAAATATTTTCTTTCTTTCTTTCTTTCTTTTCTTTTTTTAAGAAATTCATAATCTGATCAATTTAGTAAAATACACTTGACCTGTTACATAAACTAATCCTTTAAATCCGAGTTTAAAACTGACCTCAAACTGGCCCTCTCTTACCTTTTTTGTCTTTAGTTTGTACCAAACTTTGGTGTCTTGGGAAATGGTTGTTATTGCCCAATTTTAAACATGGGAAAATGTAGGACTATAGCTTTTTAGGTAAAACAATAGAAGATGTTTTAAAAAATATTTTTCTCCAAGTATCACCACTGTATGTCCCCAGGGAGGGTGGTTTAGATAGTTGCATGATTTCCAGTGTGCACTTATTAAAACACTAAGGTTTTAAATATAAGTTTAATTTCAGTAAACAATTGGGCCCTTATTTTTAACACAGTTGGAATATTCTGATATGTTTCGTTTGTAACTTTACCCTCCATCTGGCATCATTTGTTACTGCACAGTCTATTATATAAGGAGTTTTTATTTTATCAAAATGCACAAGTCTTAATATATAGACCTCAAGTTGGCAGAGCTGTGCTCTCCACTTTCAGTACTAAGTACTTGGAATTCTGCACATGGGATCAAGGTGTGCAAACTCATTTTAATATTACCTAAATCACATGTATTAGAAACGTAGTTAAATATTGTTTCCCAGTGTAATATTAATAACTTTATTTGCTGATAGGTAACTGATTATTATTCATCTTATAATATTTATGTGCTAAACCTATAGGGCAAGAAGATATAAATTAATAACTTTTACTTTTTTCTATTAATAATTTCTGCTAGTTATTAATTATGGGGTGTACCAAGCACGCCACGGTCATAATTGACTTTGTTTTTCTAAATGCTTGCAGTCTGACCATATTTTGAAATTTCATAGACTCTGGTTTTGTGGTGATCTCAGAATTTGCTGAATGAAACACCAGGCATTTGAAAACACCAGAGTTGTTAAATACTCTGAAAATATGAAATATTTATGAAAATATTTAAGGACCATCATGTGAATAATTTAGAACTTCCCAGGAGAAATCAAAAACTCGTCTGGAATATAACAGCTTTCTTTAAAATCTAATTATTTTTTTCAAATAATTGGGTCTATTTCTACTGCAACCAAAACTAGGGATGGAATTCAGATAATCCACCCCATGGGGGCGCTCATAAACCTCTGTATTTTCAGGGAGACCATTTCTTAGATAGAATGGAAAGGAGGCAGCTGAACCTTCTTTACAAAAGAGGTATTGAGGCCAAAGCAAACTTGCACCTCAAGTCACTGATGAAGTTGGAAAGAAAGGACAGCATTGCAGCAGAGGAAATTTTTTCACACCGAGGAGAAGAATATTTAAGAGCTTAAGTAACTTGCCCAGACCCCACTGCTAAGAAATGGAAAGCTAGGATTCCAACGCAGGGCTGTCTGAACCCAAAGCCACTTGTTTAAAAGCTGAATTCTACTTCAGTGATAGAATACAGTCCACTGTCACGTGGCCTGTCTTCAACTAGAGTTCCCTATTGCTTGGCATGTTGCTGTAATGCCAAGACAAATCTTGTTCATAATGCAAATCCTCAAGACCCTTCTTAATCATCAGAAAGATTAAACAGTCTTCACCGTGGTTTATTAGGTATACTTTATGATGTTGTAATTCTTAGAAAAATTTGTGTCCATAAATCGCAAGGAGAGTGACTTTTTAATCCTTTTTCTTGAGGCATAATTAATGTTGGGTGACTTTTTTAACGTGAATATTTGAAAGCCACATTTCCTTACTGTGTTGGGTAGTTGAGTTTATGGTACCTTACTTAATAAATTTATGCCTTTCTGCATTCGTGAAGTTTTCCAGAGAACACTAGGAGTTGCCAGAAAGATAAGTCCTATGAAAATGCCTTCCAAACAGTTAAATTCTGGGAGGTTAGGCCTAAGATGTTACTGCTCTTTCCTGAAAAAGTATTTTTCTCTGGCGAGAATAAATGTGAAATTGAAAGTGGCGTGCTTTCGAATTGGTTAACTTGCAATTCATAATTGAAAGTCCTGCAGCCAGAGAGTTGAAAATTGCTGAAATACATTAACTTCTGTTCACGGTGCTTCTTGGAGATGGGGATTATAATGGCCTCACCAGCTGAGAAAAGGTGGGTTTACAGGAGGGCGCATAGGAAATTTCAGGTAATGCTAAAATTATTCTTAGAATTAGCTTTAAATGAAGCTTGTCTTTTTGTTGGGTTTTTCAAAGGCAACACTTCTGGTACTTTAAAAAGAATTTTAAAAAATCACTTTACAGAGGGGTTCAGTATCAAAAGGTATTTTGGTCTCTTGGGAGAAGTCCTGTAGAAATAGTAATAATTATTATTTTTTGGTCGTGCCATACATCTTGTGGCATCTTAGTTTCCTGACCAGGGATTGAACCCAGGCCCCCAGCAGTGAAAGCACCGAGTCCTAACCACTGGACAACCAGGGAATTCCCTAGAAATAATTTTTTTAAATCCATAAATAACTCTGCTCCACTTTGTATTTTTTGGGGAAAAAAAGATGTGTAGACAGATAGGTAGATGGCAGGATAGATGCCCCAATCACCGTGTAACAAACCTGGATACGTGTAGGTGTGGAGAGGCTCACTGGATCGATTTTAGGGATAGCCCCTCGGGGCTCCAGTGGAGGTGAAGTGGTTCTAAAACACTGCACCTGGCCATGACAGTTTTCACTGGTGTCTGCTGTTGTGAGAAAAATAAGGACAAGATAATTTTTATTTCAGTAGAAATTTTCTGATTTATAGTCTGTTTACATGGTTCTCCCTAGTTTTGGGTATTAACATCTGCTTGCTTTTTCATCATGATAGTAAAAGTAGATGAGACTTTTGTCTCTTGTGGGTTTTGGAATGTCCATAGATGGCAAAATTGGTCTATATAAATACCCCCCATCACCATCCCCGCAGTTTGTTTGGAAATACTTCTGCTCCATGAAATCCAAAAGTCTGGGCACCGTTGGAATACTGGGAACAACATTGGCTTTGGAGCCAGACAGAACTGAGGTGGAAGACCAGCTCCATCACTTCCCCAAGGCCAGAGAGCAACGTAGCCTTTCTTGACCTTAGTTTCATTCATCTGTAGAGTAGGAATAATCATACTTGTTTTGCAGGTTGTTGTGAAAGTTGAAGAAAATATATTTAAAGCATCTCACAGGACAAGCCACCCCCATAATTGTGGGTGTTAAATAAAAGATAGTTATTAACCCTTTGTGGGCAAGTTACTTCTTTGTGCCTGTTTTCTCATTTGCGAAATAGGGATAATCAAAGTACACCCAGCTTATGGGATTGTTGGGAGGATTAAATTATATGCATAGAAGGTGTTTCACATAAAGTAAGCCCTCCTCGAGGATTAGCTGCTACTTACTATTTTATCATTGTTAAAATTACAGCCATCTTGGAGAATTTACAGGTAGTCCTTTTATGGAGTTTATAATCAAGTAAGAAGGGTATATCAAAGCACACAGATAGTGATAGTATTAAGATATTACCTGCAAAATATGATCGATCAGTGCTTTGAGGAAGATAAGGACCTGGTCAGGTACATAATAGATATTCAGCAGAGTTTGTTAACTTAAAAAAAAAAATAGTAAAATGAAAGGGATGAAGTACTATGTGAGCCAGAAAAACCTTCTGGCCTCTGGGACCTTAAACTGTCTCTGTGCAGCCCTTCTTGCAGCAGTGGGAAGTAATTATGCTTCTCCAGAGCAATTAATTTGCACGTTAAGACTTGCCTAAATTCTTAAGCCTTCTACCAAATAAGGAGAAACTCCAGGAGCTAGAGTGGGGGTGGGGCGTCCCCTGGGTCCAGCACCATCTTCAGCCCACTCCATCGTAGGTTGGAAGTGCTTCCCAGGTTATAGCAGAGAAACTGGGCTGAGGCACTTTGGTCATGGGTATTGGTGATACGAAATCAGGACCCAGCTTCATTTGCAGCATTGCATTGCCATGAACTGGTTATAATTAATTACATGTAACATCAGCCTCGCCGATGAAAAAGTACTACGGTAGCTAGCTCTTCTGTTTCCTTATTTGTCTGTACTCTGACCTTCTTCCTTGGTTATTCACCACGTTGGTGGAAGAGGAGGTCCCAGTTCTGGCCACTGACTGTGTGCCCTGTGTTCTACTTGTCCTTCCTCACCCTGTCGTCGCTTCCCCCAACTACCATGCGACCACATCCATGCAGTGTCACCACTGCCTAGACGATTCTTTGACCTCTCGTTAACAGCAACTTCTGTATAGTAAGTGTGCTATGCAGAAGGGCTGTGCATCTATCCTCTTCAACCTCCTCTACCCTCCCCCCATCTCCTTATGCTCTGTTCTCTTAATAGGTTAAAATAAAAACAGAACAAAGAGGTAGAGTGAGTGTTCCTAACTGGACAGTTTTCCAGTTGTCCCGGATTTACAGGGAGTCTCTGGGAATATTCTGAATTAATATTACCAGTATTGTTATTAACAGGATGCTAAAAAGTGGCAAAGTTAAGTGAGCAGTACTGGGGGCCTCAGGGTGGAGGAGCCCCTGGAACGTTTGGTGGTCAAGCCCCACACGAGGTGGTAGGAAAGCCCTGACTTAGACTGGAAAGAGCTGGGCTCTAGCCCACTATTGTCATTACCAGCTGCCCAGGGCCCTGGTTTCCTGGTCAGAAGAACAAGAGACTTGGATATGCCTCTCCTAGCATCAGCTGTCTGTGATTCTGTTCTTCACTTAATAATCTTCAAAACATAATCACCAAGTTTTATTGCTCCTAAAATTGATGTTGTTTGTTAATTTATTCTCAACTAGTTTCTATCTAATATCTGCTAAATTTAAAACTTGCCTTTATTGTTTTTATTAAAAAAGTACTTTCTACCTGTATAGTTCTTATTTTATTTTATTTTTTTGCGGTACGCGGGCCTCTCACTGTTGTGGCCTCTCCCATTGCGGAGCACAGGCTCCGGACGCGCAGACTCAGCGGCCACGGCTCACGGGCCCAGCCGCTCCGCAGCATGTGGGATCTTCCCAGACAGGGGCATGAACCCATGTCCCCTGCATCGGCAGGCGGACTCTCAACCACTGCGCCACCAGGGAAGCCCTATAGTTCTTATTTTTAACCAATGACTCTTCTCTCTCTTCCCCATCCCCATCCTATTCCAGCTCATTCTTTCATAGTTAATGTGTTAGTGGTTGGTACCTGCCATCACAGACTTTTCTAGGCATGAACAAATATATACACATGTAAATATAAAATACTTTTGACTACAGAAGGATCATATTATACGTTTGGTTCTGAAATTTTTTGTTAATTAGCATTTGATAGAGTCAAACAGTCCAAAACAATATTGGATGGGAAGTAAGTCTCCCTTACACCCTGAATCCCCAGTTCCCTTTCCTTAGAGGCAACTCTTTCTGTATTCTTCCATAAATTTTAAGCGTATATACAAACATATATGTTTCTCTGATTTTTTTTTTTTTTTTTTGCGGTACGCAGGCCTCTCACTGTTATGACCTCTCCCGTTGCGGAGCACAGGCTCCGGATGCGCAGGCTCAGCGGCCATGGCTCACGGGCGTAGCCGTTCTGCGGCATGTGGGATCTTCCTGGACCGGGGCACGAACCCGTGTCCCCTGCATCGGCAGGCGGACTCTCAACCACTTCCCACCAGGGAAGCCCTAGATTTTTTTTTTTAATGTATGCAGTGGGAGCATACTATTCAGTGTTTAGCTCTTTGCTGCTTCTTTTTGTTTAACACTATTTTGGAGATTATTCCATACCAAATAACTTATGTAGCACTTAGTAAGTGCTCAGAAATGTTAATTGTCATTATCATCGATACATAAAGAGCTTTCCTCTTCTCTCTCTCTCTTTTTTTGGGGGCTGCAAAACATACCACTGTAGAGGTGTGCTAGTTCCTTATTGACGGACCTTAGAATGTTTCCAGTATTTGGCTATTATAAATAATGCTGCAGTGAACATCTTTGTTCCTACATCTTTGTATAGACATGTGAATATATCTGTAGGAGAAATTCCTGTTGAAAGAATGTGCCTTTTAAATTTTGTTATGTATATAGAAGGCAACGTGGCAATTGGTTGAACCCGTTTCCATTCCCACCAAGGATGTCTGAGAGTGCTTGGTTCCTTGCCCCTTTCCAGAACCGCCCTGTCGTAGTTTCTTACCTGATGGGTGAAAGTGATAGCATGGTTCAGTTTGCATTTCCTTTACTAATGTGAAACTGCATTTTTTTTCATTTGATTAGCATTATTGTTGTTTCTTTTTTCTATGCCCTGTTATATCCTTTGCTGTTTTAAAATTTGCCACTATTAATTTGTCACTTGTAATTTTACTTTGCAGATATTTAAAAATTTTTATAGAGCCAGATTTAGTGTTTCCTTCATGGCCTCTGGGTTTTCATTCTTGACTAGAAAGATCTTTCTTACTCTAAGAGTATTAGAAAGTTCTCCAAAGTCATCTTCTAATGATATGTAATTTTACTTTTTATGTTTAAACCCTGAGCCAGCCAGATCTGTGCTTAGTTATAATATTGGATTATCGTTCAGCTTATGCTCGCTTGGATGGTTGGATAACTAAATCCCAACGAAACCACAGATTGCCAGAGTAGGTTGAGTGTAGAACAGAAGGCAAGGCTAATCAGCCTTGTGATATAGTTAATAGTTTTCCATGATTAAAATTCAGTTTTGTCCTGTATAATTCATGACATAGGTTCTGTCTCTCCCCACCCCCAGGAGCGTTTTTTTAGATAGAAGAGGCTTCTGCTTTATTGACAATTTGCCACTGATTTGAAACACATTGATATTTATTCTTGGTGTTGCATTGATCAGAAGGCTAATATTTGGCCCTTTTATTAGTACAGAGGAAGGACTTAAGTTCACTGTTTCTTAGTTACAGTTACTACTTCACGGTTTCCAAGATGGGTTCTTAATGACTGTAGTCAAGCAGGAAACGGAAAAGCGATGGTAGTCATTTTTCTCAGGAAAGCGTGGCGTTCTGGAATGTAGAGAGAATGTATCCATTATTATTTTTTAAGCAGTCAAAGTCACTAACACTCCTTAGTTACATTGGTTTGGGGGGGATTTATGATTTTTCTAACTAATATCTGCTACTGGGGAACATTTTTGATGGGTTTATTTGCTTTTTTTGCTAGCTGGCCAGCTTTTTCTATTCAAAATGATCAACAAAAGTAGATTCACTGGGCCGTGGTTTTCCCACCCAGGGAAACTTACTTGATTCTGCCAAGTTCTCAAACTTCTGGGGCCTAAATGCAGGGTTTAATATCCCCTCTTGAAAGGACAAGTATCTAGAAATCCAGAAATCCAAAGTAGTGGTCTCACTTTTACTGGAACCAGGAAAACTGTGGCCATGGATCGTGCCGGAGGAGGTGTGAGAGATGATCTGGGTGCCACATGAAGAAACAAAATCAAAAAGGTGAAGTAATTGGTTCAGGATCGTAGGTAAGGATCAAAATAGGACTAGCTGGCCTTTGGACTCCTAGTCGAGCGTGCTTAGTAGATTAACACATAAAAATATGATTATTTCTTTGTAATTCTGTTGAGAATTAAAGCTCATGCAATGTATTTAATGAGCCGATGGTAACAGCTTTTTAGAGCAAATCTGTTGCATGAAGTAGCCCTTTACAAAATATATTCCAGGTGTGTTCATAGGTGTTCATTAACATGGAAGAAAGGGGGCAACATAGAAAACTTTTCTTTCTCTTTTTCCTTTTTTAGAAGAGTATCTTAGGGTATTAGTGTCCAGGAAAAACCCTTGACCACCGTGACCTAAAACTCAAAGCCTGATGACTCCCTGAGTCACACTGCCCTGTTGAGAGGAAGGACATTTCAGGGGTGGCCGCTGGGAGGAAAATCGTGTTTACCAACTGTGTTTCTCAGTGAAGGATCTCGTGTGGCGGATCTGTGTCAGTGTTTGTTAAGTCCCTCTGTGATGGTTCTGTCCAGGTCCTTTACTGGAAGGATCAGTGAAGTCTGAGGTTAGAGCAGGAGGAGAAGGTTGGTTCAGGCCTCTTCTGGGTAGGATTGATCAGAGCCTATAACAGTCCTTTCTGACTTGGAGAGCTCACTTAACGTAATAGGTCAAATGAGGTAATTCACCTGCTCTTGGACCTTAACGAGATGCCTGCAGAACACAGCTCGAAGGAGACCGAAGACAAAACCTTTTGGATGATCTTGTAACTCGAGAGAGACTACTTCTGACATCCTTTAAGAACGAGGGTGCAGAACCAGATCTCATCAGGTACGATGTTTTCCTTTACAGGGTTTATGTGGTGGGTGAAATTTATTTGCAGAGATTATAGCTATTTCCTGAATGGCTTAATTTCTTTTTTTAAAATTTCTTTAACTAGTAAAATATAGTCTGTTCATTTATAGTGTTTGTTATTTTCTATGCAATGTAGTTTTCATTAAATTTCTAGATTTAGTAAACCAGATATGTTCAGCTGAATCCCATCTTGGAGGAAGGCTATTTAGGTAAAATACAAAGTCAGAAAATGTCTTTTCATTCTTTAGGTTGAGCTTTCTGCTATGTTAGCTGCCTTTTAAACTCTAGAAGTCATGTTCTTATCTGTGTTGGAAAATGATTTTTTAAAGATTTTTTTGATGTGGACCATTTTTAAAGTCTTTATTGAATTTGTTACAATATTGCTTCTGTTTTGGTTTTTTGGCCACGGGGCATGTGGGATCTTAGCTCCCCAACTAGGGATCGAATGAACCAGCACCTCCTGCTTTGGAAGGTGAAGTCCTAACCACTGGGCCGCCAGGGAAGTCCCTGAAAATGATTTTTTTTAATTGACTTGTTATAAAAATGTGTCCTAAAGGTTGTAGTCCATGGCTCATGGAATTAGAGGTGTGGGGCCGTTGGATTCTTCTCGCTGTTCTTTGCTGGAGAGTAATTCACACTCTACAGAGTTGTCAGCTGCTCTGTACCCGGCTCTGCAGAGAAGCCTCCGGCCTTCCCAGCTGAGGTTAATGAAGTATAAATTGTGACATCTTTAGAACTGGCCTCCCCCCGGCTTCTAGAACTCTCTTAACGTCACTGTGGGAACCATCACAGATGAGATGAGGATAAAACCCTCCTCTCCCCGCCTTCCCCACGAGAGGTGATGATGCCTTCATTGTGGGGCGGCAGCTTGTTCCTGGTTAGGAGTCCTACTGCTTCCCAGGGGTGGTGTTTTTTGTTTTTGTTTTTTTAAAGAGGTTTTAACGAGGCTCAGCCTCAGACAATTAAATCCAGGGGCGTGGAGGGCGTGGTCCTAGAGGGGCCCCAGGTGATTCTGATCTGCAGCCAGGCTTGAAAAACCACAGCCCAAGGGCAAGCTGAAGAGGATGAAGCGGCTGCCGGTCGGTCCTAGCTTTCTCTGGAGCGTGAGATCCAAGGTTTGTGGAAAGAAACGTTGAAATTTGGGAAGCTAGATGAAACGTTGGAGCTGTTCGTTTGGAGAAATAAAAGCCAGGAGTTAGGGAAGGAGGAGCTGTGTCCTGGGCAGGGTTTGTAAGCGGACGCCGAAGCTTCCGGTGAGCTGGCTGATCCGTCGTGGTGCCGGACACTGCTCGGGCGGATGCAGGAGTGAAGTGGGAGGGTGAAGGTGGTGATTCAGGCCTGGTGAAAAAGAACCGGTGAGCAAGGGGATCCAGGGCGAGGAAAGAGTGCCCTCTGTCAGGGCGGGTCTTCACATCGAAGTCCAGGAATGTAGTAAAGGTAGCGTGGGGCGGGAGAAGCAAATTTCGTAGGGGAGGAGGGGCCAAGTAGAGGTGATGGTTGGAGGCGGAGAAGACACGGACATCCTTCTCTGTCGTGGAGGTGGCCGTTCTGATGACTAGTGATGGTGACTGTTGGGTGAGAGCCTCCTGTGTGTCAGGCTCTGCTTCTCTTCATTGTCGTTTAATGATATTGAAGGGGCCCACTTGGGCCTTAGGTCTTTTTTCCCCCAGGTTTTAAAATTTGAATATTAAAAAAATTGTGCATTCCAATAACTAAAATCATTTGAACAACAACAAAAAATGGCACCCTGATTAAACTGCATTTTACAGCCCACAGGACACCTTGAGACCGGCTTACTCTTTATTCTAGATTTCACTGCCGTCCCACCCAGCCGCCTCCTTCACCAACATGCAGGTTGTTTTCCTTTCCTGCCAGCCAGACAGGTGGATGGGAGAGGCGGGCGCGGCCTTCGTTGTCAGTAGTTTTCCATTCTTCGATGTGAGAAGGGGCAGCACGGTCATTTAAACTTGATCTAACCTCTTTGCATCTTACAAAGTTAAACAGCTACAAGAAGTAAGATAAGGCAATGCTTGTGGAATGTACAGTGCATGTTGGCGGCGCCTCCTTAGGGCTCGCCTGCTTGCTTCTCCTGTTCAGTCGCTTCTTCTGAAGGCAGTGGATTTTTCTCTTTCGTTTCTGTTTTCTTCAATCTCGACTTACCGACTTTCTCAATCGCAGCCCTATCGGGTTTGTCCGACGTGGCTGCAGAGGAAGAGGAGCGAGTTACTAGCGAGCGAGGTCCGGCCTGCGCAGTGGTCGCCGCTGAGTCTGGGCCTTAGGTCTTCCTGGGGGGTATGGTTGATTTTTGGTCCCCCCCTCACTTGGGTCGACGAAAAATAATAATAGAAGAGTCTTATTGGAGCCAAACTGAGGACTAGCCCGGAAGCCTGCTTCCCAGATCACTCTAAGAAATAGCTCCAGAGAAGCAGGGTTTTTAGCACGGTTTTATATCTTGTCAGAACAGAGTACGTTAAACAAGTCAGGGATACATTTCTTCAAGGTTTCAAAAAAACAGACCAGGATGTATACGTACAGCAGGTACAGGATGAACTTGGCACCTGGGAAGTGAATCTTATCAAAGGAGGATTAACGTTGGCGTCCTAGGAAGAGGGGCCTTTAATCTTTATTTTTAACATGGACGGTCTTTACTTCTGGTTAGTGTGCCCTTTCCTTTAGTGATTAAAACAGGTGTACAGTGTATGTTTGATAGGCCACAAACAGGCTGTTTCAGGTAGCGTAAAATTCAAGTTAACTCGTCTATAAGCCAGAATGACTTCTCTAGATCTCAGTATGTCAAAATTACTCCTATTGCTTGTCACCCCCATCTCTTTTTGGTCACCCCTCTTCTCTCCTGTGATAATCTGTTTGCTACTTAAAGCCCTACCTGTTCACGTTCAGCGTCACCTGGGTTTGTGTTTAGAAATGTAGTCTCAGACCCCACCCCCGCCCTACTGAATCGAATCTGCATTTGAACAAGATCCTCAGGTGGTTTGAATGCCCCTTCCAGCTTGAAATAGTGCTTTATATCACCTGTTCTTAATTGTGGGACTCAGCATCAGAATCACCCACAAGGCTTAAAAAAAAAAAGCGTCCAGACCATATACTTGCAGAGTCTGAAAGTGTGTCTGGTGGGTGGCCTGGGTAGCCGTAACACGGTGGGGAGCTCTTCGGGGGTGGGTGGCAGGGTGAGAACCACTGCTTTCTCTCACGGGGTCCGAGAGATGAGTGCTAACGGCTTACACCTGCGTGTTTTCTGTGTGCCAGGCACTATGCTAAGCTGTACGTGCCTGCGCTCTAGATCTTTATAACATCCCACTTTACAGGAGAGAAGCTGAGGCTTGGAGGGGTCAGGTAACTTGCACATGATTCTAAGCCTAATCAGTCTCAGAGTTTGGATTTCCTCTGGATCTGTGTGTCTTCAGATGGGAACTCTTAACCGTTGCACCATAAGAAGAGCTGGACCAGGAATTAGAAGCGCTTGGCTCTGTTGCCTCCTAGTCAGTCATCTGGGCTTCAGAATCATTGACTTGAAAATGGGGGTGTGTGTTCTGCCTCTTTTTCATTGTTTGGACCAGGTGAGGTGATTGGAACGTGAAGGGCTTTGTAAGCTCTAAAGCCTTTACAACTACAAGATGAGTGCTTGAGGGGGACCTGGCCTCCCTGACCAGTCTCGTTTCATGTTCTGCACCTGGTTCTCCTCCCGCCTATTCTCACCTCCCACGGCTCCTTCTGTGTCCCTTTCCTCAGTGCCCGGCTTGCTGGCTGTGGTCTTGATGGTAAACAGTCGCACATTGATTCTAGCAATGGAATCCATGATGGCAACGACTTACCTTCCTGGACGTATTTTAGCTGAAGCCTCCTTAAGCCCAAAGTAAATGAAGCGGTAGGAAGATTTTAGGGAATTTAGCAGGTCAGTAGCAGAGGTGTGTCGGATGGAGGCCCACCAAGGCCTCTGAAGTCCTGTCACCAGGACGCCCCCTGCTCCTCCTGTTTATTTGAAGGCTGATCCACCTGGTGGGCCTGCAGGTGTTGCTTATGGGTGAATGGTTGGGCTGGCCAGGGAAGAAAGACCAGCCTGAGGGGAAACTGAAGCAGGGGTAACTAATTCCTGAGGGTTTGAAATAATGAAGGTAACCGGCCAGGCTGATTTCCATGCTCTCAAGATGAAACTTTGAGGGAACCATAGATGTTTTAGTCAGACACAGAAATCTAGAGTAATTCAAAGTAAGCTTGCAGAAGAGTTGACAAGTGTGTGAGCCCTGTAGAGAGACATGACTTCTGAGGATTGGCTTGATGAGGTAAAATGGATAGAGCAGACCGTGGTGGTCCACTCCAGGCACCGTGGAATGCGCCCGAGAATGAGAAACCAGTGTGGCAATTAGATATCACTCCCTGTGAAGAAAGTCCGTCAGTCACTGAGGTATGAAAGAGGAAAGACAATGGTAGGTGGCCTGGAAGGTGAATTATTGGTGAATCCTTGTCGGGCTAGGATTGCTTTAGACCCACAGGACCCATGTCTGTATACCTGTCTGTATTAGGTTGCTAGGGCTACTGTAATGAAGTACCGCAGACCGGGTGGCTCAAACAACAGAAATGTATTTTCTTACAGTTCTGGTGGCTGGAAGTCCAAGGTTAAGGTGTCACCTTCAGAGTCGGTTCCTCCTGGGCCATGACAGCAGGATCTGTTCCAGGCCTCTCTCCTCAGCTTGCAGATGGCCGTTTTCCCCTCTGTCTTCTCCTCTGTCATACCCGCGTGTGTGTCCGTGTCCAAATTTCCTTTTCTTACTGGATTAGGGCCCACCCTCGTGACCTCACTTTAACTGCCTCTTTAAAGAACTTATCTCCAAATATTGTTCCATTCTGGATTACTGGGGGTTAAGACTTCAACGAATGAGTTTTGCCGGGGGTGGGGATTGGGAGGGATGGACACAGTTCAGCCCATAATTGTCCAAAAAGTAAGTCCTACACACATTCTA